ACCCCAAACATTAAATTAAATGAGCCTAATATGGGCTCTATGAAGGACTATTTCCTAATTAGATCTCTGTTGTGTTTCTATGGAGCTGTTTTAGAGATTCGGGGCATAAATCGGAGCAAAAAGCACGAACCCCCTGCAGCTTTGCTCAAACTGACTAAAAGCAAACACAGAAACCAGCCGTCTGGAACGTATATTTTGCTAACTGCATTAGGAATCCTGGCTCTCTGATATAATCACCTGCAAACACCTCGACTGACTCTAAACACAGTCGGGAAAAGCTGCTACAACAAGGGGGAAAGTCCATTTTTACGCCGGATGTCTAGTTTGCTCGGACCTCAGCAGCAGCAGAAGGACAATCACAACTTCACACAAACAGGTGGACAAATCTGCAGGTGTCATGAAGTTATACCGGCATTTCCTGCCCATAATTGGTCAAATAAAACAATAAAAACAGCCATTAACGAAGAAAATATTCAACAAAAGTGTGATTAAGAAGCAGAACTATTGAGCATTTTCTGTATTTTTGTTTTGCCTCGACGCTAAAAAGCAACAAACACAGTGAATCTCTTTACAAAACAAATTTATAAACACGATCAAGATGTCTAATCACAACCTTTGAGAGCACATCAGAGACACAGTAGGTGCAACTGCCTGCACGTGTCTTCATCTCACCCTGCCGACTTAAGGCTCCCTCTCTGAGGACACGTCGCCCTCCGCCCCGCTGCTGGCGTTGTGGTCCTGGCGGGATCGCAGGGCGCCCTTATCCCTGCCCGACTCCGACGGACCCTTGGAGCGAGTCTTCTCCTTCCTCTGCTGCTGCTTCTCCTGCTTCGACAGCTGAGGACACACAGGAAACACAGACAAGTTCTTTATGTCAGAAACCAACGCTATTTGTTGTTTTTTACTTATTATCTAAAGGTGCAACACTGTCCCACTTTATCAGCAAATTAATGACACATGTCTGCAGAGTTCAATTATTCATCTCATGACATCACACACTTCATTTCACCATGACCGCATAACTCCTAATTTTGCTCCTGATCGTTAGCTTTAAACGCTGCTGGCCCCGCCCCTTTCAGGACGAAGACACTCTCTGCATCTGTGGCAGGACTTCCTGTGTCCTCCAAGTTTACCTCTGAGTGACCATTTGACGTGGAAATATCACAGAATCACCAGCGCAGATGTCGGCGAGTTTGTCGGACGACGTTGTGGCTCTAAAACCAGCATTTTGAAGCGTCAGCAGGTTAGCGTGATGTCTTAACGTGCTGCGTTTAAGTCACTTTTTCATCTTAATTCTGTTGTCCGACAACAGAAACAGAAAATGTACAAACGAGAAGAGGTTAATAGTGAATTCGGCTGCGTTAAAATGCAGTTTATGTGAGAGCAGGAGAGAAGCTAACAGCTGAAGCTCAACAGGTGACATGAAAACACGGAAACCCACCCAGTCCTTGTTCACTGGTTTCAAAATAAAGTTTCCTTCATCTCTGAACGTTCCTCAGTGTCGCAGTTTCCACAGAGCTCCGACCCGTGAGCATCAGAGCTAATGTTAGCCACACAGCACGCTAACACTAAGGGCTTTCTTGTTGTTGTGGGGTCATTAGCATCAATTACCGCTGGATGTTTAGTTCTTCAGATGCTGGGAGCGCATGAAGACTCTTGTGTTCACTCTTGCAGCCAGAACATTGTTGCTCGTGGCTCAGGTGTTTTAAAATTAGCAGAAGCAGCTGTAAGAAAGTAAATAAACCTGGTGAACCGTGAAGCTCTTTCTGATTGGATCACCTGGAAGTAGCGAGGGGGGCGGAGC